GCAGCAGGCATTTCTTCCCTGCTAGTGGCTAAATCAGGGGGCTGCCTGCACCAGTTCTCGCATTCCTGGTTCTCTTTAGGGATTAACGGCAAAGAAAAGTAAATCCTTCCCAGGAGAGCAATGAAAGGAAGCTATATTCTAAAACAGGGATAGACAGCCAAGTGTGTATTTCAAGTCATCCTCTTACAAACACTTAGAGCATTAAATTTAATGATTATCAGGTAAGGTAGACCTATAATCCCAGCACTTGAGACGCTGTGGCAGGAGGATTGCCATGAGTTTGAGGGCTGCTGGACTACACATTAAGTACCAGTCTAACTAGGGCTATATAGCAAGACTCTATGTGGTGTGTGTGTGTGTGTGTGTGTGTGTGTGTGTGAGAGAGAGAGAGAGAGAGAGAGAGAGAGAGAGAGAGAGACACAGAGACAGAGACAGAGACAGAGACAGAGAGACAGAGAAAGATGGGGAAGCTGTCCTCCTGCCAAATAAATTAAACTTTGAAATCTCTCTTTTTGTTTAATAGCAATGCTTTATTTTAGAACATGCCAGCACCCTTAGCAGATGCATTAAACCACATTCTTTATATCAACAAAGACACCACAATTAAAAGATTACAGCTCAATATTCATTAGTCTTATGTGAGTGTTTCTCACCAGTGTTTTACCTTTTTTGGAGGGAAAGAGGAGAAATGAAGAAAACACCATCTCCCTGTTCCTTTTTTGATATTTTCAATATATTTAAATAAAGTAAAATACAATAAAGAAACGGGGCTGGAGAGGTGGCTCAGTGGCTAAGATTGTGCATCGCTGTTGCTAAGAATCTAAATCTGAGTTCAGTTCCCAGCATCCACATCTGACTCGCAACTGCCTACAACTCAAGTTCCAGGGCCTGACATGCTCCTTGGCCACCTTGCATTCAAGTGTACATACCCCCCAGGTATTTACGTAATTAAAAACAAAGTAATCTTTAAAAATAAATAAGAATGGTTACAAAGAAGAAAATCCCTAGTCCTTCCCTCAAAGGTAATTGCTGCAAACCTCTGTGGCCTGTTTCCTTTAGTCTTAATGTAAAATTCAGTACTCCCCACACCTCAAAACTACACAGAAAATAAATCAAAAGCAGTTTCCCATTGTGTTCAGTTAGCTCTTCTGGTGCTCAGTATGAAGCCCAGGGTTTTGAACAGGTAAAGCATGTCCTCCACCTCACGACAACACACTCCATCCTGCAAGGAGTTGTGTTTTGTTTTCTATTCTTAATCCACATGCATCTGGGATGAGGCGTGGACAGTTTTATATTGAGAAAATTTGTTTTAATAGCTCCCTTACTCTTGGTGTTCCAACCATGTCTTATGCTGTTTTTTCCTTCCCTGACACATAGAATCTATTTACCTTCACTGTGTGTTTGTGTGTGTGTGTGTGTGTGTGTGTGTGTGTGTGCAGCCACATACTTAGCACACCTGAACAGCCTTGGTTGTCTATTCTTCCTTCCCACCTTGTTTGAAACAAGGCCTCTCTTCCAGAGCAGTGAGGTAAGGACACACACACTACCACATCCAACTCTGTATGGTTCTTTAGTTCTGAATTCAAGTCTCCATGCTTGCCAGTGAGAAGCATAGCCATTGAACCATCTTCCCAGTACCCGCCTTCACTTCTGTTTGACTCTGTTATGGTGTGCATGTACCCTGCAAAGCTCATGTTAAAACAATTGCTGCTAGGTGGTAGTGGCTCACACCTTTAATCCCAGCACTCGGGAGGCAAAGGCAGGCAAATCTCTCTGAGTTCGAGCCAGTTTGGTCTACAAAGCAGGTTCTAGGACAGCCAGGGCTACACAGAGAACCCCTGTCTCAAAAAACCAAACCAAAACTTAATTGCTGTGATGATGGGAGGTGAGACCCTGAAGAGGTGATCAGGACAAGAGCTTTGTCCCTTGGATGTGTTCCTGCCTTTGTTTTGGAACTGGGTCCCCGACAGGAAGGACGCTTGACTCAAACTCACATCTCTCTTCTCTCGGCTCTCAATACCTGATGCCAATCTAAGAAGACTCTGATTTCAAACTTCCTAGTCTTCCAGTCCTCTAAAACTTGGAGCCAAATAAACTTCTAGCTTGCCCAGTGTGCAGCATTCTGTTGTAACAACAGCAAAGAGACTGAAAGGAGCCCTTTGATTCTTTGGGACATGAATTACACAGGGAAAACGCCACGTGTCTGTCTGGTTTTTCACTGCATGGCATACATCAAAAACGAGTAGGGGTTTTTAAGATGCAGCATTCCTTACCATGCTGCATGCTTTGGGTTTTAACCTAGCTTTATTCTGCCTTTTTAAAATGGGAATTTCAAAAGATGTGAGATGTCCAACGTCAAGCATCTCTTCATATCTAAGTTTCAGGAGATGATAAATAATAGTGATAACACTCTTGCTTCCACTTGGGGATGTGCTCGGAGGTCAGGGTTAAGAAGAGGAACCACTAAGAACGTGATCAACAGTCCAGAGGCCTCTGCTAGTCAGAATCACTGGTCCAACCCTCTCTTGCTTTTCTTTGTTTGGTACCCGGACTTGAACCTAGTACTCACACACTATAGAAGACCACACTGTGGTGTCACTGAGCTCCATCCCAGCACAGAATCTCTGGTCCTTAACCCTCTAACCACATCTCCTCTCATCTGGCTAAAGCTTAAACGCTGAAAGCAGAAACTTGACAGTAGCTACATTCCTGTCTCCTTGGTAACATCCAATCATAGTGGCCAACTGTGAAAACTGCCAATCATCCACTGAAAGATGAACGTACAAATGAGACGTGGCGCATAAACACAATGAGATATAGAGCGACTTAACCTTACATAGTTAGAAAATTCGGACTCGCTGAGCGATGGTGGCGCACGCCTTTAATCCCAGCACTCGGGAGGCAGAGACAGGCAGATCTTTGTGAGTTCGAGACCAGCATGGTCTACAGAGCTAGTTTCAGGACAGGCTCCAAAGCCACAGAGAAACCCTGTCTCGAAAAACCAAAAAAAAAAAAAAAAAAAAAAAAAAGAAGAAGAAAAGAAAATTCGGACTCGAGTTTAGAAACAAGTGAACCTTGAGGACATAAGCTAGTAGTGAAAAAATCCTGGGTGCCTTTGTGTATACATGTGTGTGCACGTGTGTAGAGGATGTATATGTATGTGTGTCTATAGCTACATGTGTCCCTGCGTGTAGGCCAGAGGTGGGTGTATCTTCCTCCCTGGTTAGCTTCTGAGATAGGGTCTCTCACTGAAACTGAAGCTCATGCTTCAGCTAGACAGGTTGACCAGAAGTCCCAGAATTACCTGTCTGTGCATGACACACACACACATCCAGCACTGAGGTTAGAGGCGTGTACCATCATGTCCAGCTCTTATGTGGTGCTGGAGACCTGAACTCAGGCCAACCTTGTGCAGCAAGCACTTTACCAACTGAGCCATCCAGCCCCTAATTTGTTGGCATACAAAGTAATAGGTTCCATTATGACACTGTTAAATTGTATCAGATTTATCCCAATATCCCATGCCTGCTTTCCTGTCTCTCTGATTCCCTTCCTCCTTCTAAATGGTCCACCTTCTGTTTCCATGTATATACAAACACTTAAATTTAAGTCCCCACATGGGAAACACTTCATATTTTTGTCTTTCTAACCACATTGCCCCCAGCCCCCTCCACCTTAGACAACTTCCTCTCCCCATATGGTTTACTTCTACTTCGTTGTTGTACATATACTTAAATTTAGATTCAGCATATGAAAGAGAGAATATGTGATATTAAAACAAACACTACTGGCCATGGCTATTAAATTACAGTTACATAGGATAAAGACAGCATGCTGTGCTCTTACACAGTAGGCTGCCTGCCTACCGATAACAATAATATACTGGACACCTCAGCCAAAGGTGTCTTATACATTGTAAATACAATGTGAAGACATCTATCTATCTATCTATCTATCTATCTATCTATCTATCATCTATCTATCTATCTATCTATCTATCTCTATCTCTCTGTCTCTCTCTCTCTCTCCACTTGTGAGCTCGGGCTTATGTGTTTTGCACATCTGTACGCGAGGTGCACTGTGACCTGCTGCACCCTGGAGTCACCACATACAACCACAGCCTCTGGGGGAGTCTGCAAGAGTCCCTCCCAGATGTTTATTCCACGCTGTGTCTAGAAATCACTTTGAGAGTCAGCCATGCACTCACCTCCGTTGCTATGTGTTGCCACAGGTCCCAAGTTTGACAGCCACCCAGCTACTAATGACGTCGTTCAGTAGTTGCTCTTCCCACAGGAAGGCTGGGAACGTGGATACACGGGGATACACGCCCCCTCTCACATCACAGTGTGAGAAGCTCAGGCTCTCTTCAGCCATGCGTGGGCAGACAGGCCCTGGAGAGTAAGGATCTGCCAGCCCCCATGACTCTTCCTCTGAGTCACCAGGTCTCAGGTTTGCTTCATCTGCTTAACCCTGCCCCTGAACCATCCTCTCCTCTCTTCCCCAGAAGCCAGGAACTAGGTTTAGAAAAAAAAAAAAATTGACCACATTATGGCCGAAGTGCAAGGAATCTGCAAAACAAGAGGCCACCTGGCCTTCATGGCATGGCTGTAATGACACACAAACCTGGACTGATTCTTCCATCTGAGGGCCGCAGAACCCTTTACAGTCACGCCCTTGGTACAAGCCTCATGCACTCTCTGGAAATGACATGGGCAGTTTCCAAGCTGAGGAAACTGAAATATGACAGGGTCACGGTCATGCTGCATATCATAAGAACAGATGCTCCAGTGAGAACTGAGGACCAGATTCAGGACTAGGACTCTGTGTGTGTGTGTGTGTGTGTGTGTGTGTGTGTGTGTGTGTGTGTGTGTGTGAACTGGACAATAGCATACAACTGAGGACCTTGTTCATGCTATGCACCTGCTCTACTGCTGAGCTTCAACATCAGTTCCAATGTTATTTACTTAACCTTTACACTGCTAGTCTTCCTGCTCTTTTCCAGGATCCACTTCATGTTTTCAATAAATGAGAAAAGACAGAAGAACAATTCTGGCTCTTTCGCTTCTGATCTGCAGACCACGCTGATGCTAGGACATCACAGTACTACAGGGAGGTAAGAAAGTCATGGTTGTTTTATAGTCTATGCAAGCCAAGGGAGCCAGTGTTACCTCTGATTGTACCGAACACAGTTAATAGATGTGTCCCTTTACAGGGTAGTATGGGGACGGTTGTTTGCTAAGGAACATTCTTTGCAAAGACTAAAAAAAGAGAAAAAAATTAATGAGGTCATTTTCAGGTTAAAAACAACAACAACAACAACAAGAACAACCTTTTCTTTTTCTTAGTTATCCAAAGTGTTTGAAGTATTTATTCCAGGCACCTAAGTGAAATTTTGCAACATTCTATTTCCAGTGTCTGGCATGACCTTTCAACCCACTGGGTTAATCCTGTGCCCTGTGGTTGTCATGGAGCACTGATACCTGGCCCTGGGGCTTTCCTCTGGACTCCTAGGTCATCTAGGACATCTCATTAAAATCTCCCAGTCTATCACCCTAGACACTAAGAGCAGGTAACTCTTGGGGCACAATTTCTGAATACTAGAAGGGGCATTCTTCTGAGCCTTTCCCATGCTGCAGAATTCTCCACGGCTGAGCGCTGTGGTGCATTGCTGAAATCCTAGCACTTGGAGGGCTGAGGCAGGAGGATCATGAGTTCAAGACCACCCTGAGTACACTGTTGAGTTTTAAGCAAGATTTTGTGTGTGTATTCATGTGTGTATGTGAGAGAGAGAGAGAGAGAGAGAGAGAGAGAGAGAGAGAGAGAGAGAGAGAGAGAGAATGAATCACACAGCATTCTGTGTGTGTTCTTCTGGCCAAATACTAATTTTGCACTCTCACGGATGAATATAGTTTTTAACTGCTGTGTCTTCCTGCTCCCCAACACCAGCCTCTGCGTCTGTGCAGTGAGATACAGGAGACGGCTCTGTCAGTGCATCTGCCCTGTTGCGGATGCTTGGGACAAGCAGACATAGGGAGAGGCTGGCTGAAGGTGAGCAAAGGGTAACACTGGACCTTGGCTTCCACTGTGAAGATTCCATTCTCAGTGCAAATTCCCGCAGTGTCTAAAACCGGAACAGTGGCACACACAGTTGCTGGCATGGTTGCTGTGCTTTGTAACCCATCCCCTCTTTTCTTCTCCTCTTCCTCTCTCCAGAGCTACTTCCTGTCTGGGGCTTACTACTTCCCCTCCATTCATATGTCCATGTGTGCTGTGACTATAGAGCTCTTGCTGTTTCACATGTCTTTATACGAACAGCATTGAGTATGAAGCCACTTGTAAACTTGATTTTTGTAACTTAACATTGTATGTGTGGGGGGGATGCTTTCCTCATTTCTCATTTATCCCATTGTATGAACAAAAATAATTTATTTACTTCCCCGTGGTCCTGTACACAGGTATTTTAAATGTTTAAGTTGAGGCTGGAGAGATGGCTCAGCAGTTAACAGCACTGGTTACTCTTGCTGAGAACCCAAGTGAGTTTGATTCCCAGCACCTGTACATCAGCTCACAACCATCTGTAACTCCAGTTCCAGGGAATTCAATTCTTTTTTTTTAATATTTATTTATTTATTATGTATACAATATTCTGTCTGTGTGTATGTCTGCAGGCCAGAAGAGGGCACCAGACCTCATTACAGATGGTTGTGAGCCACCATGTGGTTGCTGGGAATTGAACTCAGGACCTTTGGAAGAGCAGGCAATGCTCTTAACCACTGAGCCATCTCTCCAGCGCCAGGGAATTCACTTCCTTTTCTCGCCTATACTGGCTCTTGTACTCACACAAACACATATATACACATAAATAAATAATAAAAAAGGTCTTTAAAAATAATAAAGTTAAAATTGCTCACTGTCACAAATGATGTCTCCACAAACACAGTTGTCAGTGGGTTTAGGATGTGTATATTTACAACTCCTGAAGATTTTTTGTTGTTGTTGTTGCTTTGTTTTTTGTTGTTGTTGTTGTTTTTGAGACAGGGTTTCCCTGTGTAACGCTGGTGATCCTAGATCTCACTCTGTAGACCAGGCTGGCCTCAAACTCAGAGATCCACCTGCCTCTGCCTCCTGAGTGCTGGGATTAAGGTGTGCGCCATCACTACAGGTTCCCAAAGATTTTTTTTAAACCTAGTAGTAGAGCTGTTGGGACATAGAAGAGGCTTATTGTTATCATATACACTATTGTTATGTAACTGGAGGTTTCCCTCCTGGCCAGCATTCCCAAACAACCACTCTGAGGCTTAATATTACTTACAAATTGTTTCATCAATGGCTCAGGCTTCTTACTGGATAGCTCTTTCTACATATACATTACCTCATTCCTAATAATCTGTGTATTGCCATGTGCCCCATGGCTTACCAAATTACTGATTTATATCATTTTATCCACTTTTCCAATTGTTTTAGTTAAGTCATATATTAATTTTTTTCTTTCTGCAAACTTCTGGGAAAGCAGCCTCCCTGCAGCTCTCAGTGCTTGCTCTACCGCCTCTGGGCCTTTCGAAGAGACAGACGTGGATGTGCTGTAAAGACGATGACTGTTTTCCCCAGCACTGTGCTCACTTCCTCCTCCGTGGCTGCTAAATCCAGAGCCATTTGCCTGCATTCCAGAGGACGATAAACTATCGATCTTCCTCTCTCTTCCAGAGTGCATGGATCTGCATGGAGGACAAAGGTCTCTCCCCACATTCCATGGGAAATGGACAATAAAACTTCCCTGTGAACAAATTGTTGATCTGTTCTCTTATCATCTGCCAGCTGTTTTCCACACAAGATACATGGAGGGGGGGGGGAGTAGAAATTTAACAGTATTCTCCCTTTTCTGAGTTTGTAGTTTTTCTTTATTTTTTATTTCTTATTAGTCTTTGTCTTTTTCTTTTTTCTTTCCTTTTTTTTTTCTGCAAGGTCTTGTCATGCAACCCTGGCTGACCTCTAAAATCTCTATTCTCCTGCCTCAACCCTTCTGTATGTGTGACTATGTCCAGCAACAAGTTCTCTATTGTGTTACATATATAAATTTTACCATTTCAATCATTTTTATGTGTAGTTCAAAAGCATTAGGTATAGCTGCCCTCTCTTCTATCCACAGAACTTTTTCATCTTGAAAAACAAAAACTATTTTTTTTCAAATAATAGATCCACAAGAGAAATCAGATAGTTTATTAAAATACCGGCTTTGTAACATGGGAGCATTAGTACCTCTCAAGAGGGTATGGCCAAATTTCAGCAGAGAACACTGAAGGTTTAAAAAGTGGGAAAGGAAAAGGAATTGAAGTCTTTGGTTGCAATTAGAAGGGACCTCTAACAACTGGTAAATACAGGTCCCTTTGTAAACAACGCTAATCTTCAGAGTGTAGAGGTCTTCAGTGGGGAACTTGGGTTCTCTGTGTAGGGCTGGCTTTTTCTCCTGTCAACCTGTATACCGCTTTAAGGTTGACCGAGCCAGGGCAAAGAGCCATCCTTCTTCCATCTCTTCTGGTGGCATCTGGTTGGTGACTGTACTTTGGGAAGACACCTTCTAGTCCCCATAAGAGGACTGAAATGTGAACTATTCCCATCCAGGGTACTCATTAGATAAATCAAGCACATCTCTGCAAAGTTTTTGGAAAATCCAAAATTATTTCCAGATTTATTGAGATTAAAAAGGACAAAAACTATTTTTAAGAAACTGTGATATGCGATATGTTTTCTTAACATTTTATTTATTATTATTAGTGTACGTGTGTGTGCACATGCACACATTGTATGTGTGTGTGTGTGTGTGTGTGTGTGTGTGTGTGTGTGTGTGTCACAGCATGCATGTAGAAGTCAGTGGACAACTTCATAGAGTCCGTTCTCTCTTCCTGCCTTATTTAGGGTTTGAGGGCTGGGACTGAACTCAGGCTGTCCATCTTCCCTCACTGAGCAACAACCAGCACCTTCACCCACTGAGCCAACTTGACAGCAGGTAAAACTGAAACTTGTCTCATTAAACACTACTTTCTTCTCTCCCCCAGCCCCTGGGGCTCTCTGAGTCTCTCAAGAACAGTAGCAATCATCCAGCGTTGGTCTTTTGTGGCTGGCATTTCACTTCGCAAGATGTCCCCACAGGTTTCCATGTGTCTGAATTTCCTTCCTGTATATATATATATTAAAGGGCCCAGAGATGGCTCAGAGGTTAAGAGCACTTATTGCTCTTGCGGAAGATCCGGGTTCAATTCCCACCATCCACATGCAACTACACTTCCAGGGAACCCAAGCTCCTCTTGACCTCCACAGGCACCAGGCACCATGCACATGGCGCACAGACATATAGACAGGCAAAATGCTTATATACATAAAACAGAACGAACAAATCTAAAATGATGTTTTGTGTGTAAAATAAAAGCAGAAAAAAAGGCCATTTTACCTCTTTTAAGTACATAGTTGGGCGGCATCCATTCATTTAACTATCTTTCGTCTGATGAAACTGAAGCATTGAGGAATAGCTCTCCATTCTCCCCTCTCCCTAGCTCAGCCCTTGAGCCTGAACGATGTTTTAGCCTTGTATACGTACAGCACATGGGGTTTACCCAACCATTCTGAGAGACACAGGCCCCTGTTTGAGTTCCTACATATGTACATATTAATTTTCCTCTACTGGGATGGAACCCAGGGCCTCACACATGCTAGACAGGTACTCTACCAAGTCCCTGCCCGATGCTGTCTGAAAGGCAGAGGACATTTCTCTCGGTCACAACACACTGACTTTCTCACCCTGTCCTTCGTGTTCTCTTCTATGTTGTTGGTGACAAGGACTCGGGTAGCACAGGCTGGCCTCAAACTCCCTTTTACACAGCTGGGGATGTCCTTGAGTTTCTAATCCTCCGTCTCTACCTCCCAAGTGCTGGGGTCACAGATGTGTACCCCTGCTTCTCCCTTTCTGAGGTGCTGAAGCCGGGGCTTCGTATTTCCCGGGTGAACACTTGTCAACTGCGCTACATTTCCAGCCCGTCTGGTTTTTGTGTTCTAAAATATCGGTTTTGAGACTGCCAATCTTGCTAAGCAGCTGCCTGGCTTCTGGCTTCTGATCCCTGTGGTCCGATAGTCGTAATCCTGGGACGGTTTATCCACAGCGGAGGCCCCAGACCAAGGAAGGCTGCCTGGATCATAGCTAACAGGCTGCTTCTATTTTGAAAAGAAGGAAAGTTCCCTTCTGTCCCCCTTAAGAGTGCATTTAGGTAGACCTAGGGATTAATGAGTAATAAAACCACACGCATTTTACTAATTTTACGTATACATGGGGATCTTCATGTGTGAGGTCCAAAGAAATGAGCAGAGCACCTTAGCAACCAGTTCCTGTATCAGTGAAGTTCCCAGATCTCGCTCCAGTCCCTGGGGAAAACCAGCCCCTTAATCTGGGAAGACCCAAGGCTGTGAAAGAATTTACTGTTTGTTCCAGGCAACGCTTGGTGTCAGGTCCTGACCTCCCGCTTAGTTCTTTGTTTACTTCCAGAAAACCGGCAGTTGTGAGTCTTTGCGTGTGTGTGTGTGTGTGTGTGTGTGTGTGTACGAAGTAGGTCTGGGGGCATGCCTTTTACAATGATAAAATGTTTTCAGACCACTGTTGTCTGTGAGGTCCATTGCTGGTTATGTAGGATGTGACTGTACATCCTGTAAGGAGATCGGCAAAGTACAGAACCAGGCGAAAGTCACCACTCACTTCAAAGGGGAGAAGAATGCACCTATGCATTCATTTGCCTGTGTACATAAAAATCTGTGACTCTTGTGACTATGCACAGAAACTGGTAATATCCCTGGCTTTTTAGAGCTAGGCATAGAGTAGCTAGGGCATGGAAGTGTGTCGCGGCCACCCTCGACCCGCAAGGATGACGCGACACCCGGAGCTCTTCTCACTGCAGTTTATTCCAGGACTTTATTCACTTTCTCTCTCTCTTCCCCTCTCTCTCTGGGCAAACCCTCTCCCAGCCCTTAAGTAGGCATGGGCTGCCAACCCCGAACTGCCAGGTGGGCACTGCCCATAGGTTCACGCATATGCAGGCAGCTGATAATCACTGCGTGATCATAGCATAGGTCAGGCCTTAGCCATCTCAGGAGTTGATTATACATCTCCATCAGGTGTGACACCACGCAGCTCGCTACAGAAGTGAGAAGATTTTGAGCTGATCATGTGATTATAGCAGTATTTCCAAGAAGGTAAAATAAATAACAACAAAATGAGTACACTCATTGCAGCCCTAGAAATGTGTATTTATTTGCGAATACACAATTACACATACAATTCACCCTAAAGTTACAGTTCAGAGGCTTTTAGCATTTATATATCACTATCCCAGCAACACTGTCTTGCTTCAGCTCCTCACCCCAAAGGGAAAGCCCCATCTCCCTGACCTCGTCCCTGCTGTCGTCCCCAGCAGCCATTCTAACCTGCTGTCTGCCTCATGGATTCGCCCATTGTGAATACGTCCTAAAAATGGAACCATGCAGGAAAAGGATGTTTAGGTCATTTCTACAGTTTGACTATTGGAAATATTTTTTTTCAGAAACACAGAATTTCCAGGCTGAGTGTGTAGTACAAGCTTGTAATCCCTGTACCTCAGAGGCAAGAAGGAGAGTGTTGTCTAGGTTCCTGTACCCAGATTAGCCTGAACTGCATAGTACTAGCCTGCCTCAAAACAACAGTAAGAGACAGAGAGGGAAAGGAGGGGAGAAGGAGAGAGGGTGGGAGCTTTAAGTCATGGGCATTTCGAGACATCTTGATACTCAGAGCAAGAGTTGAGTATCATTTGCTATCTGTCACATGACAGACATCTGTACACATTTAAAGACACAGTTAAAACCCACTCTTGTCTAACAAAAAAAGAAATCAAAATTTCATTTAAATTAATTATTTCCTTTCTGTGCACTTCTTACACATCCTCCTGGGTGCCTCCCCATCTTCTCATGTCTTCTCATTCCCCTGGTTTGCTGCCCTATTTCCTTGCTGCAGTGTTGCTTACTGTGGAACCCAGGGCCTGCACATGTGCTGTTGCAGAACTAGCCAGGCTCCCATGCCTCCCTGTCTGTGACTGCACTCAGGGTCTTTCCTCCTACCTCTCCAGGACACCTTTCCCTCCTTCCTTACTTCAATGTTTTTTTTTTTTTTCATTTCTTCCATTCGCCAAGATATGTAATCATCACTCCTGAATTAATTCACTAAGGAAAAAATGAAAAAGCTGGCACACCCAGGCTTTACTTGAATAGTCATTTTTGCCATTAGGTGTTGCCTGCAAGGCAAGAGGTTTGTTGAAACTGGTCTGTGCCTCCTTTACCACCCCATCTGGCGTAAATGTAAAGTTAGGGTATTTTTCAAACCCAGGCTTACTGAGCTCAAAGAGATAGTCTTTGGAGAGATTCGGATCAGCAGGAAGCTGTGTTCAGCTCCAGAAAAGATTTGGAGAGCAAGGGATCTGGAGACGCCACTGGCACACACATGCACAAAAATGTACAAAAGCACACATGTACATATGAACACATGTGCATATGTATGTACACACAGATACAAATGCATGCATAAATGCACTTACACACACACATATATGCCCATGAATGCAAACACAAGCACTTACACGTGGGTATACTATGTGCACACAAGTACACATGCATACACGTGCATGGGTAAATATACATGTACATGCATGCACACATACCATCATGTGTCCTCCTGGAGAGCTCATAAAGCAAATCCTCAATGCCCCAGTGAGAACTGT